GATGGCAGAGGAACCAAAAGGAACAAGAAGCACCACCACTGGTTTCAGACAACAGATCAGTTACTAAGCACTATGTCAAAATTACCTCTGGGCCACAGCTTTTGTAGCAAATTGGGTTTTCAAGGGCATTCCCTCTCCTCTGCACCGCATATTTATCTCATATCGTTCTTTCAGCCCACACCCAAAAACAGAGGCTTTGTGCAGTAATTCCATTTTAGGCCCAAAGGCCCAAATTTATGACAAGAATGTTTTTAATATTTAAAGTATAGTAGAATATATACAGAAGTCTAAATCAATAAAGAAACAAAAAATAAAGACTAGGGAACATTTTTCATTAAGGAGGTAATAATATAGTAAAAAGGATCTATAAAAACCCTCTTTCAAAACCCTGTATGACCTTGCTGTTGACTCAATCCTTCAAGCTGACCACTGAAAGAAATATAAAGTAATATTCATTTTCCCACATGTTCACGGCAGTCCAAATGACAGCTCTGACACTGAAAACAGAATGGCAAAATATTTTATTTAACTTCAGTTATGAAAAACGTGAGAAATTAAAAAAAATTAAAAGCCGTGCTGATATTGGACATTTCACAATTCAATCATACATCATACCTGTACTGCAGAAAATATGCAACAAGAACAAACTTCTAAAATGCAGCTGGATTTAAATGTATGCTGCTTTCCCTGTACTGTCAGCCTTTAAAGAAGATCATCAAAGGCACTCCAGTCACTGTGATGTGAAGACAGAAAAAGTGAGCACGACCTTGAATTCTCCCTTCGTATTTCATGGCATTTTTTTCTGTAGTATTTTTAAATCATCCAAACAGAAAGCACTAACATGGCCACTACTGAATATACATGCTTTTGAATAGGATGATGAAAATTACTTGAATGAATGTCTTTTGGCTTATGTGCTCATTTACATTCCCCTCAGGAATAATAGATTAGCAATGTCACTGCTATGAACAAGTAGGTGACATATCAATAACTATCAACTATTAATAAATACTTCACTCATTCCATGAGGTTAATCTTCATATGCACCCATGAGGCAGGAAATTACAGTCAGTATTTCCCCTGGAGATGCTAAAGTCATGTTATAGACTGTCCTAGCTCATGCAGCAATTCAGGTGTCAAAGCCATAAGTAACAAACTATTAGAGACCCTGCCTCCTAATTCTACACTCTAATCACTGAATTTTGCCTATCTCATGAAGGAAACTATAAGAAGAATCATGCTGTCTTTTCATAACAGAAATGTAAAACTGACATTTATTAAAAGCTATTAGAAACTTAAACTTGCCATTAAAAGGGGAAACAATGAAACCCCCATGATTTATCTACTGGTCTTTCCTTTGCCTTCCAAACACATATGTGTGGTAACTGCTACAGAGTTACTGCTCCCTCAGATTAGCACAGACCTTTATTTGGAATAAATACCTTTTATAAGGAATTTGAGAATGTTTTCTCTGTCTAAATGTATTGACTTCTTTTCACCTGGCTCCTAGTTCTCAAATACTCCGTGGAATATGAACTGAACACTTATGATATGAGATACTGCTATTGTTGCCAAGAAAAGCTGGAGAAATACTGAGTTGGAAAAAAAAGAGGGAAATGTTTTATTGCACAACAGAAATTCACTGCTCATTTCCCTAGTTTGTTTCTAATAAAATTAATAAAGCAATGAGTAGGTAGGCACTTCTCTACTTCTACAAGACTGTAGTGATTGCCTTCAGAAAAGGAAGGCTCTTGTGGTATTCACGAGCTGCAAGAGCATTATAAAAGTAAGATTCTATCCATATGTTAAATGTTTATTTCCAGCACATCTGTCTTAGCTCATTAAATGTTTTTAAACTTACCAGGACACTGACTTGGAGAACTGCCTCTAAAACTAGTAGGAATTGCATGAACAAATCCCTTAACAAGCCTTCACATCTCTACCGCGAGTTAAAAGAAAAATTAGGTTGCAAATCTTGCAAGATTTCAAGGAATCTGGAAAGTCACTTGTCCAACCCCCCCACACACACTTCTCATGACATCTACCTTTAATGTGTGCAGCAATGCATTTCTGTTATCACCCAGAATCCAGGAGGTGAGAATGAGAGAAATAGTGAAGTTCTAATGAATTTTTAAAAATCAGTTAGGAGCTCAGCATGGAGATTTGAATGGGTTCAGGGGTTTGTGAAGATTTTTTCCATCTCAATTATCAACTGCTTGCTCGTGCTGAACATACTGATGAGGAAATCCTCAGAGCATGCAGCAGCAGCTCACTGCAGGGACATACGTCATTGGGAATGTTCCAAAAAAAACTTTAGTGCCTGAAGAGTTCTTTCCTTTCCACAAGTTCCTTAGGATAAAAGGAAATTAATGTGACAGGTTCTGGTAAGCACAGACAATGCCACTTCTCTGCATTACCTCACCCAAGAACACCCATTTGCTCATTTTTCAGCTGAGAGAAGACCAGCTTCTTCTAGTACAGCTGTTTCCTCCTACAGGGAACATTCCTTTTTTCCACTGCTGCTCTAACAATTAGAAGATAATACTAATCAATGAAAGTACTCCAGGCCTATATACCTCATCACACACATACAAACCACTGCTCACTTCTACCATGAATTTCTAGCTTAAAGGGGAGTAGACAGATCAATCTTCACAAAGTTTTGAACACAGCTCTCATAGCATGTTCTTCCACAAGAGCTGGGCCAATACAAATGTTATTAAAAGCAAAGGGAAGGGGCTGGATTACCAATGAAAATCATGTAAGTTATGGAAACCATACAAGCAAATGTCAGTCTTGAAACAAAAAATTAATTTAAGTGTCCTTCGTGTAGGCAAAAAAGCAGCAAGTAACATATTCCTTGAAGAAAAACACTCCTTGTAAGCTTGAAAGCAAGACTAAACTGAAATACAGGATTAAGCACTTCACTTTGTTTCGTGGGGAGTTACACTGAGCACAACAGGAATATTCTTGTGTGCTTTATGCAAGGGTGTTTACAGGACAAGACTGAATTGCTGAGCCATTATTTTACTTGTAGCTCAGGAACCGTTCCAAAGCAAACATGAAAGAATACAGCAACATATATTTTCAAAATTAATCAAACGCACAATAAATTTTAAGCAATTAAATTTTGAATTTCCTTGAGGTCACCAAAGTTCAGCTCTAGCCCTTCAGTCAACCATCAAGATTAATTACTGCCTTGCTACTAGCCAGTGCTGACAGACCAGTAACCTCAAAGTCACTATCACGCAGCTCAAGAGCTAAATACTTCTTCCAAAAGTAAATATTTCCAGAATGAAAACTAAATCCTGTACATTGCTGATACTAGAAATAAGCAAACAACACAGGAAGTCCATGCTTTTCTGTTCTAAGTACAACATTTTTCCATAAAGGGATATGTTTGCTCATATGTGAGAAAGAAGAATGAAAGTAGAGCTCCCTTACCTTTATTTCCACTGGGTACCACATGGAAGTGGTAAATCACTAAAGTGAATGTTCTGGAATCTCACATTCATTCCACTGTCTCAGGAGTCAAAATTATTTTTATCTTCTAAACAAAAAAATATTCTATGCTTATGAGTGTGCACAACACTTAACACTGTGTCTCATCTTTTAAATTTTTGCTTAAAAACTACCTCTTAAAAATTTCCATAGTACTTCTTGCTATGTAGATAAACAACTTCTCTTGTGTCAATAGGGCAGTATTTGATATGACTTCCTCCAAAAGCAAGCCAATCACAAAAAAATATAATATTTAAAAGATGCATGTATTCATGATGAGAAGCTCAAGAGAGTTACCTTCTTTTCATTTATGAGAAATTCTGAAATTTGAGCCATCCAGTATACGAAAAGAAACAACCTCTAACAAAAAGAATTTAATCTACCCAAAATCCTCCTCGAGGGTCTCCAGAGAACCAGGACAACCCAGCGTTTCATGGCATAGACTCCAAAGCACTGAAGCAAGCACGAGCTAGATGGGAAGAGTTAAATAAAGCAGCTAAAATTCAGCAGCATGGAGAGCTATTGCAGACTACGGTTACTGTAACCTACACTGGGTGTCCTCTGCATAAGCACCAGTGTGACTTTGTGGACTGCTGAGACTCAGTCTGTTGCAACTGGCATAAGTTGCCACAGGCGAGTAATCACAAGAAACTGACCTTGGCAAAAGCACATTTTACACTTCACTGCTGTTCAACTGTGTTATACTAAAGAGAGAGCAAGTGAGCACAAGCTGAAGGGGGAGGGAGAGAGAACAAAGGGGGATAGACAGCATAAAAGTGACCGTAGCCATTTTCAGCTTTACCTGCTTTTAAGATTTTAACAGAGGTACATCACATCTCCCATGCACATCACAACCTACAGTTACATCAATTCCGCACGGTATCATTTTTAAACCATCAGGGTCTGAGGAGATTTTTTTGGGGGGGAGGAGAAAGAAAGAAAACTAAGTACTAAATTATAAATTAATATCTAAAAAAAAATTAGCCCAACAAGGAGGAGGGAAGTATAGAAGACAATTACAACTTCACATTTTTCTACCACTGGATTAATGCATTAATGAGGATTTTTTAATTGTTCTTTCCTCCTGTTTGGCTACACCTGTTGAGAGTACATTTTTGAATCAGCTGCAGCTAATAAAGCCTAAATGTATTCCATGAGGTGTGCAGCAACATATCTTAGTCCTAATGTTCAATATTTCAGCTCAACCTTAACTTCAGCTCTCAACAGCCCAGCAGCAATTTGCAGGAACTGGTAAAATCCCCACTGCTGCACATACAGATGTGTCTGGCTTTTCTCAGTCGTCTTTGGTCTCTGATGGTTTGAATCAGTTATTTCCTGTAAAACAATTTTCTTAGTTTCTGCATTACTTTTCTTTAGTATTGATTACTGCATCTCCAAAGAAACAGGACCTGGCAGAGCAAGACAGCACGGGATCCCATCATTAGTGCTAACCCGCATCCTGCCCAAATTTTACAGCAAGTTTAACACAAGGATCTAACCTTGAAGGTATGCTGGGTTTCCAGGACATTCGCTGGTTGAAGAAAAACATGCAGAAGCTTTGTACAAGTTCCAAAATACCAAATCACTCTCCACTTGGGAAGTGTACAAGGTATGCAAGTCTAGACAAAATAAAATGAGACCACATGCATTTTGTATTTGCTTCCTTACCACTCTTAGGTCAGTGACCTAAGGACTCAATGCAGCTTCTCTTCCAGATCTTGAAGTCTGCTTTTCTCCTGTGCAGACAGCTTCTCTATTCCTCATCTGGTTCCATAAATAACTCAAAACCCTGATACAAAAGCCACCCTTTGTTCCTCTCAAACATGCAAACCCTTCACATCTCTGTCTTCACAATTCCTCTATTAAAACTTCTGGTCCTCTGTCTCAGTCCTCTAAATGTCATTACTACCAGCAAGCAGAAGTGGCTTTTTTTTGGACACTGCCATGTTGTTACCTTGAACCATTCCCATCTGACAGAGTCTTGTCATGGTATAATGACCTCCCCTGTCACTGTCCAGGGAGATACAAGACTCGGCCCTGACAGCAGATGGCTGATTCACACACACTGACGCTCAGCGACTCAACAATTATACAATCACGCTTAGCCTATAAATTATGAAAACAGCAATTCTATGAAGCATGACCTAAAATTTCAAGGGACTGAAGTATTTCCAAGTCTGAACTTCAGATCTGGGTCAAAAAGGTGTCAGCTGTGGATCTGGAGAATTTTAATCATCTCATCAGACTGTAGCTCCCTCTCACAAATATATGATGTTTGTAAGGCCCACAGGCATACTCCCTGACACTGAGGCAGGACTCTGTCACAGAGGGCTGGATGGACCACAAAAATACTCACTGCTTCTGTGAAGTGTGTGAGAAACTCCCCTAGGGTCTAGACAGAGAGTAAATTGATGTCTGTCACATTTTTCTGACTGCACTTGGGCACAAAATAGACTTATTAAAAATTTTATTTACTGAGTTCTATAGTAATTAGTTATAGTAGGTAGAAAAAAAGATAAAATGAAAAGGGCACAGTAGTTCTGCAACAATTTCTGTGGGCCCTCAGGCTTGGCCACCTACGGTCAGCATTTCTCACAATGACACACAGCAAAAGAAAGAAAAGGGTTACCAAAAGAATACCTGAAGGGTACTCATATCCACAGGAAGAGCAAATCTTTGTTTATACTAGGCCAAAAGTAAGCAGATATTAATATTACACAAGAGCACCCTCAACTGAATGTAAGGATTTGACATCTCTTACTTCTCCAATGCATATCCTAAACCACAGATTATTGAATTAGTCTCTCTATTTGCAACTCCCTCTGGGTCTCCCAAACCACATCATATTTTAAAATGTATGTGTCAATCAGTACTGCATGAGTCATTTGACTTTATAGTTCACTAGCTAGAATCTCATTTTCAAGTAATTTTATTCATTAGGCAGAACAGAGACATTAACTGGGTCTTCCCCATCCACAGAAGTAATTACCAATATGCTGGCTATGGTGGGCATCTCCCTTCTCTTTCCTCTTCCTTCCTCACCTCTCTCATATAAGAGAACTGCTTGAAACTAGTACATTTCCATGATATATACAAGGGCTGACAAATCAAAATCTTTTAACACCTAAAAATACTAGGAAGGTTTAGCCATAGAAATATATATATATATGGATATGTATCTATACAAAGTATCCAAAAAATGATGATTCTGTGGTGTAGCATGGTTGAAATGTTACTAGAATGGGATTAATTTGACCGAACTATTCCTCTACTGGAAAAAGATTCGTTTGTTTGAATTACATTTACCTTTCTCGAAGTGTTTTAGAAAGAAGTCTTGTCTAGTTTAAATTCATCCAATATAACATAATGATATCCTTGAAGTCCAGAGAGTCAGGAGAGTCTTGCTTTTCCTTCTAGTTGTGAATTTTGAGTGTGATCTACAAGAAAAAGAAAATGGGAGGGAAAAAAGTTTGGCAGGCAATCCTTTATCTTTTCAATGGGTCAGTATTTTCGAAAGCCTTACAGAAAATGGCCCTGACTCCAGAAGTTCAATCAATCAATCAATCAATTGCTACTTGGTTTCCAGAAAGAATTCAAAAAAGATTTCTTTTTCTATGTCAAATATTCTGTCTCTATCTTCACTGTCTTAAATATGAAGATATTAGAGTGAAAGGTGTGATTTCCTCTCTTAAAAAAAAAAAAATACAAAGAAACAAAGAATTTGCAATGTATAGTTTGCATTTTCAGCTACAAATTTAAATTTACCATTGGGGAATGTATAAGTTTTTGTTAGAGCCTACGGAAGAGAAAGGCTACTGTTTCTGTGATGTGAAGTGCTCATACACTTCACAAGGCCAGTAGCAACTCCTAACAGAGTTAGGAAACAGAACTAAAACCATGAAAAACATAAAATACCCTTTCCTCCTACTAGACACTTGAATTAATCAACAGCTATTGGTGAATAAGTACTCAACAACTTTGTTGAATAAGCATGTTTTAGTCTAGAAACAGCTGTGACAAGTTCACCAAACTTTATTCTCTGCATTGTCCTGCTGCCTCTGGAGTTTTCACTTTTCTAGGGAATGCAACTCTTTCAGGACAGCATGTTGAGCCCATAATTTTGCAGATACTCGTTGGGTATAGTATCAGCTCAGTCATCCTAGTTCTTTCAGTAACAGGAAGCAAACTCACAAAAGCTTTGCCTCAGATTTCACAGGCATGTGTGTGCCTCTCTCTCAGTACCCAGGCCGACGTGCCAATATGTAGGATTAAACTTTTTCCAAGGTTGAATAAGCCACCATCTGTCTATCTTGTGTGGTGCTGTGCGCCATCCGGGAGACTTGTCCCTTAGAGCATGTTTCTACCATATGTCACTCCTGAGTGATCAGTTATGCCAAGACATTTGGGAAAAAAATGACTAAGTCGAGCTGGAAAACCCTTTCTGAATTCCAGAGGAGGTATGCCAAGCCTGTATTTGCAAATAACTTTGCAGCCACTGGTTTTTACATATATTGTGTGTAACAATAAATAATAACCTTTACCCAGACAGACACGAGGTATCTGCCCTCCACTGTCCAGAACTCAGGGACTTTTTAATAAGCCAAGGGATTCAAGTATGACACATCTCCAGGAAAAATACAAGAAACTTTTACAGCAACTTTTACAATCACAAACTTAATAAAGGAAAAGAAAAAACAAAAAACCACCAGATTATAAGAATATATTTCAAGAATTACTTGGCTTGTTAGTTTAAAGCCACAAAAAAACAGTAATTTCTGTCAGAATATTAAACTAAAAATACCTAAGGCAACTGAATGCAAGGCTTTTTCCTAATAGTAACCATCTAACAATGACCATCTAAAGTGCTCACCTGCACGCAAAGTGATCACCTAAACTACATGTTAAACTGCTGATACAGTTCATGCAATTAGAATTTGTCTAATAAAGAATATGACTCTATCCTATCTTAGATTTGAATAACCATTTTATGTTCCAATTCCTCAATTATTAAATTAAAACTCAAGCCAACATCATTCTTATGGCCAGCTCAAGGCTGCTCATTTACATAACTGACTTTCAAGGGCACTTCGCTGCACAGCAATTAATACCAGCAAAAAATCTACCAGATCTGCTACCTAATGTTAAGGAAGACATTCCTGAGAACATTAAAGGAAGAGAGAAATTAGTAAATCGTGATTACAGCCTCCCTGAGTAAGATTATCATTGAAAGGAAATATATTCCTAAGGGCAACGGGAATTAAATATGAGAAGACATATTATAGGAATTATTACATTTAGTGACAAAAGTGAGATGAGGAGCAGTACTAAAGTCCAAGAGAGAACACCAACCTTTGTGTTTTGCCCTCAGAATTTGGGCAATCATTGAAAAAGAGGGAAGACGTGAAACAAGGATTCACTACAGCCCACTGAGATCTGTAGAACAAAACACGACAAAAAACATAAAAAGTTCATGTCAGACAAAGAAAACCACTACTGAAAAAAAGTTAGTATTAAAGGAAAATGAGGTAAATTATTGTCTC